GTGTAGCTTTGCACACAGTCTGTTCATTTGTTTATTTTTCAATCCAGTACTGTTGTTTTATATATATATATATATATACACACACACACACACAGGTATATGTAGAATATATAAAAGTGTACACCACATTGACTGTCCGTCAGGCACAACACTTCCCAGTTCCATTATATCACTTAATGATCAATTATTTAATTTATGAATCAATGCAGAATCACTTACGTCTGCATTGTAATGCATGTAAATCACTTTCTCATGGTTTGGCAGCTCCTCCTTGTTTGCACGATGAATATAAGGTCTTCAGCCCCATCATGTGATGCAAAAACACCAGCTAAACTAGAAAATGTGAATGAAATGGTTGAACAAAGAAACTATCTTGAATTTAGTCAGTCTATCACTAATATAAACTAGCAAATATTTGAACATCAATGCAGCAGGGCAGCAAAAACAGTTGATTAGGAAGTGAACAATGCAATGTGCCCACTAATTTCCCAAACTCTCTGAGTATTCCTTGGACCACAGCAGCCAACCCAGTATCACACATGTCCAAAACCGGAGTTTATAATACGTTACATGATGTAGATATGTTACAAAAAAGTCAAACCACCTAAATATTGAAATAGAGCATATCAATGAATAGAGATTAGTGGCACTCATAAAGTTAGCCCAGGTTCATAAGAATTAGTTATGGATTTATGCCGCGTTTTATGTTGTGAGTTGGTTCAAATTGGCATGTCCAGAAAGTATTCAAAGTAAATGGGAAATTTGTAATAATCATCCATCCATCCATCCATTTTCTGATCCGCTTTATACTCACACACCTGGAGCCTATCCCAGTTGTCTTCGGGCAGTAGGCGGGGGACACCCTGAACCGGTTGCCAGCCAATCGCAGGGCACACACAGAAGAACAACCATCCGCGCTCTCACTCACAACTAGGTTGAGTGTTCAATCGGCCTGCCATGCATGTTTTTGGAATGCGGGAGGAAACCGGGGTACCCGGAGAAAACCCACGCAGGCCCGGGGAGAACATGCAAACTCCACACAGGGAGGCCGGAACCCATGACCTCTGCATTGTGAGGTTGATGCGCTAACCACTGGACCACCGGGCCGCCCTGTAATAATCATAATTGTTGGAAATTTTTGGTTTCAATATCTACTCTATCTCTATAATATCAAAACTATGATCAAGTGGAGAGTGACATGAGAGACACTTTTCATCATAATATGAGAGTATAAAAGAAGGATAAACGAAATGCTCATCTTCAATAATCCATCCATCCATTTTCCGATCCGCTTTATCCTCACAAGGTCGCGGGGTGTGCTGGAGCCTGTCCCAGCTGTCTTGGGGTCAGTGGGCAGGGGACACCCTGGACTGGTTGCCAGCCAATCGCAGGGCACACAGAGACGAACAACCATCCACGCTCACAATCATGTCCAGGGACAATTTAGAGTGTTCCAACCTGCCATGCATGTTTTTGGAATGTAGGAGGAAACCGGAGTACCCGGAGAAAACCCACGCAGGCACGGGGAGAACGTGCAAACTCCACACAGGAAGGCTGGAGCCGAGATCTAACCAACGACCTCTGCACTGTGAGGTTGACACAATAACCACTGGATCACCGAGCTGCCATCTTGAATAATGTGAATACTAATTACAGTGAGTGTTGTGATGCTTCATTTGTTTCGATAATAATCCTCAAGAAGCATTTTTTGGAAATAGGCAAATTTTCTGAAATGTATACTTAAAAAAAATGCGAAACATTCATATTTAAATTCTTTATTGGCAAATATGCCAGAGTTTGAGGGAAAAAGTGCCGGCGCTATTCCACTGGTCGCTTTGTTTCTTGTTTTTTTTTTTTTTTTTTAATAAACTAACGCTTTCCTCATCAAGCGTGTGATCCTTGACTCAGAGAGGGGAAACATACAAGTTTCTACACTCATCTTTTGTTAAAAAATAAATAAATAAAAAGTAGAGTAATTTTTGTATTTTTAGCAGGTTTGTTGTCTTCCTTCTTTGCATTTGGTCACATGCAGTTATTTAACCACACTGTTTTCAACATGGTCAATAACAATAGCTTGCCGTCAATCAATGTATCCCTCACTGTGTGCCAACTACCCAAATCTTACTTGTGAATCCATTATATTTCCAGTGGTGAAAATTAATCAAACCACCAAATTACACTTGACACTGAGTGTATTGCCAAACTAGATGTGGTGAGATGCTGTCTTTTGAAAAAAATTACAGAGAAAAATCCATGACCTTTTTCCAAAACACACATTTTCCTCTGTTATTCATCAGACTTTGTTTAGCTGCTTCAAAACAAGGCGATGCATGCTACCAGCTCAGATCATCACAGCTCTTTCTCATTTATGCTTTTCATTTAAAAAACTAAAATCCTGTGATCCATCTCAGTTGACCAATGAAAGAATAATGACAGATGGAAATACTCGTGGAGGGGAGAAAAATCAACAACGGATACAGATTATGTTGAACAGAATGAATAGTGACGGGGTGTGCTATTTATAAACAGAATGAAAGTGGTGAGAGGCATTATTTACAACTTTAGAAAATAGAAAAACGATTTAATACGAATTAAATGGCTTATTGTACTTATATTAAACATTTATTTGAGGAGCGTACACCGAAAAATATGTTGTGTTGAATTTACTCAATTATATTTTGTCAAGCAGCTCCAAATAATAGAATCATCAGAATTTACATGCAATGTATTTGGATCCAGATGATTTTATTTTGTGCAATCACTGAACGAAATTAAACTCAGAACATTCAAAGGTTTTTGTTTTTTTTTAGTGAACAGTATATGCAGTCCAGTAAACAAAATTCAACTGAACCAAGATGGGGCCCTCTTGTGGTCTATAAAAGAAGTTGGTGATGAGGAAGCATCCTTTGCTGGAACAGTGACCACATCTGCAGCTGATTGTTTGTTTTTTTTAGTTTGTATAGACTTACTCACAACTAAAGTTACCTCAAGGCACTTTGTACACAAGGCAAGTCTAGTCGTCAGTGGAAGACTCTTACATCACAAACGATGAAGTGAAATTTAAACTGAGATGTTACTGATAGACACATTAAGATAGCAAGTAAAATATTTGAGCAGGCATCGCCTTGTTGAAAATGCAACCTTTTTCTGTTCCTTTGTCGCAATATCCACTGTAGATAAGAAATAATGTAAAAAAAAAAAATAAGAAGAAAAAACGAATCATCATAATTAAGTGTCTTTTCTCAGTATTTTTGCCTCTGAAAAATCAAAATATAAAATCTAAAATAACTGTAACAACAAACTGTATCTTAAATTGAGTTGCGCTATATTATCATCTGCAACCATGCACAGCACTCTCCCGCAAAGGTGAGCGATGTGCATCCTAGTCTCTGGAGCTGCCTCCACTCATCGACCTTTTAAATGTCACCTTGAGACAATGATGTTGTCTTCCACCTGCAAGAAGATGTTAATACGGTTGTACTGTCTTTTTCTATGATTTGCATTTTAAAGTAATGGGGACTTTAAAAATCATAAAATATGAAAGAACTCTGAACAGACCACTAAAAAAAAATAGTATGTACGGGGGAAAAAATAAAGACGCTAAAAGAAGTGGTGGGTCGCAGTTCTCTTCATTCTGTTCTATGAGGTCAACCTCCACCTGCTCGCTCTTCTTACTTTCGTGCCACATGTGCCACTACTTACGGCAGCGCGCATGCAGCCACGACACAATGCCGCTAAATCTCATCAACACGCACAAGAACCTCGCCGTGTAAGAAAATAAGCATGCAACGCCACACTCATATTTGCTTTTCCCCTGCGATAGGCTTTGCCTCCGGTCCCACTCGCTGCTCTGCACGCCTCATGTGAGCGATGCCAAACAGGGCATCGAAAGAAAAAGCGGGGCAAACAGTACCTGTAACTCTATGCTGCGACTCTGACAGATACGTGTCGGGAGCACCGTCAGCTGATGTTGTACTTGAAGGGAAAATATACAATCCATTAACTAGAGCCGCCGGGAAGGTAAAGAGAGTGAGCGGGAGATGTGTCTAGGACTGGCAGCCGTACTACATTATAGTACAAACAGTCACGATGCCCCGCCCACCTGTTCTTCTATTGGCTGCAACCGTTCATCAACACGCGCCAGTAGCCTATCGCATCACAACAAACATTGTTAAAATTTATCCAAATGGCCCAACAATTATTAATTTTATGAATGTGTACGTGTGGTTGATTTACAAAAAAGGAATATTTGTGTCAATTACGTGCCCCCATTCTACATCGATCTGACAGTGAAGCACAACCATGACCCAAATATTGTTAATTGATGGATTATATTGATTTATTTCTGTTTCTGCGTGTTTAGAGCTGCAATGATTGAGTACTGTAGTGCAACCTCCAATTCAAGCACAATCCATTTTTCCGATATGAATTCAATTCACAGTCAAGGAGGGGGCAGTCTGTCTGAATACACGCATAGCTTATTTTGCACAAATGTAATATTCTCGGGCAGCCCGGTGGTTAACGTGTCGACCTCACAGTGCAGAGGCACACTGGTACCCTTCACTGGAAGGATCCCTCCGAAAAAAGCACAAAAAAAACATACACAAACAACATAAGCCCTAACGTTTGAGCTAGTCTAAATAAATAAACAAATCATCAAAACATCCCATAAGACACAGGTGTCAAACTCAAGGCCCGGGGGCCACATCCGGCCCACCACGTCATTTTATGTGGCCTGCGGAAGCAAATCAAGCACGTCAACTTGCATGATGCTTGCGAAAATCTCTACCAAATTTTTAAATTTTCATCTGTACTGTAATAAATAAGTCATAGTGTCAGCATTTTCTTGTCACCAAACCCCTCATTACAGTAACTTACAGTACTACAGTACTGTAGTACAGTAACTACAGTAACAGTAATAGTTGAATAAACCATTATTAGTGAGGGTTTTTTTTTTTTTTTTTGGTTTCAGTCATAACAGCCCTCCAAGGGAAACGGTTACTAAAATGACAAAAATGAGTTTGACACCTCACCTGAAGGCTTCAGGGAAACAGTTTTTCAATACAGTTTCTCTTTGAGACCCCTGCACAATGAGGCCTATCTTCAATGCAAGTGACTAAAAGGACACATTTCATCTCTTTTTACTTATGTATTTTTTAAATTGGTTGTGTCCCCTGCAAACAGTTCTTCTCATACTCACTAAGTATGAATTAATCTACATTCACATTCACATTGTTTGACATGCTTTTCTATGGATGTGAGGAGTTGAAATTGAGGAGTTGATCTGGTGATGAGGCAATCTAACAGGCAATCTGTCTCATCACCAGATTCAAAACAGAATAGAATGAAGTAGAGTCTACTTCAAACGCACGTATGTGTGTTTTTGCATCCAAGAGCAAAGAGCACAATCGTGTCAGGTCTTGCACTATAGGATGAGTTAAGGCAGTAAAGATGCAGTGCAACACTTGTATTATTTATTGGCTATGATAATTAGAAAAAAAAACAATCTTGCTCTCGCTCTCACTCCTGATTATTCCAACTAGGTCACAATTCCAGGTCAATCGCATTGGGAGAAGAGGGAGATGGAAAATCTGTAAATGTCAGTGCAAATGTCTTTTCTTTACCCTTCAGCACTGCACCCGCGGTCTCGATGGTTAAAAAGATGGCTAAAAGTGGGAAGTTCTCCATTGTGAGACAAATAAAGGTTTTCTTATCTTATCTTATCTTATCTTATAAAAGCTGTCTGCAACTGAAAACTTGGTGGCTGTTTGGCGACTTTTCATCATTTTGAAATGATGGGACATGTAGCTTAGAAATTGACTAAGTGACTCCACTGGAAGTCTGACTCAGTAGCATGCGGGCCTTCCTGCTGCTTCTAGAGATCTGCTCTTTGATCACAGCAGTTCGTCATTCACCAAATAATTAATAATAATAATAAAAATTAAATGTGTCAGCTCCAGATGATCCATTTTTTAAAAATTCGTTTGTAGTTTCCTTTTGTATACCATTACCCAGATGCAGCAATATATTCACAATACAGCATAGAAAAGAGCACCTCGCACATAACTGAATGCCACTTCACCCTGATTTTTACATAAATTCTCAAATTAGAATTCCTCCGCAAAGCTGCATGAAAAAAAAAAAAACGACTGCACTTAGCAGCTGAAGACTGAAAACATTACGACAGAAAGGAAAACAGAGCAGGGACTCGAAGAGCAGCAGGATGTAGGACGTTCCTTAAGGTTCTGGATTTATGGCAGAAATCCCTGCCTCTAGTAAGAATATAATTCCACTGGGCTCCCCGGAGAACCCAGCAGGAACGATTTCTCCATAGATAATGAATCTCTCTTAACGTGCAAGCAAATAGACTCGAATGGAGACATATTAATTTTGATCTCAAAAGGCAGCAGCAGTTATCGCTTCCAAATGAGCCCAATTTGTTTGTTGGGAGCCTCCGTGCTGACATGCAGCATACATGTCGGTCTGCCTGCCAAGCTGGTTTGTCATTTCTGTCAGTTTGAGCTGGCACACAAAGCATCACCATCAGTCCATCTGTCTTTCGTTGTCCGGAGCAACCAAGAAGCACGGTGGCCGTCAGCATGACCGTTCCTGGGAAGAAGAGCTCAAAAAGACAACCTTCAGTTTGTTTTGGAAATTATTTGTTCCACAGAGAAGAAAGGTCCAGCGTCTGTCTTGGACTTTAGGTTTAATTAATTAATTAATTCCATTGTGACCGTACACATTAATCAACACAAGAATAAACAATGTAAATGCGCCAGACTTAGCATAAATGCTCGTTTTCAGTTCTAGTCCCAAGGCAGGATAATTGCAAGTATTTGTTTTTCTGAGTTTGTTGTACTTTTTCCCTTTGTGCTGTTTCACACATTTTCTGCCAAACTGACACCACAGAAGCTTAAGTAGGCTCGGCATCTATCAGCCTGTGCCTTTCACGGCACAAAAATGCAGACAGTGACAATGTGTGCTTTCACATGGCCAAAATTAACTCCCACATTTAGACTCTGTGACAATGTGATGGATAAAATAACAAAAAGCAATGTATAAAAATAACACCAAACATTATCAATTGCTTTCCACGCAACCTATTTTTGAGTTTTGGGTGCGAAACTACATGCTTTCTGACATTGCATTTCACACAGTCGCTCTTCCAGCTCCAGAAGAGAAACACGCTGAAACAGCCAGCCTTGACTATCTTTATGAAAAGGGGCAACACCTGCGTTTTTTTTGTCCTGTAGGATTAAAAAAGGTGTAATGCATTCTGACTAGCCCAGAGTGTCTACTACCTCTCGTCAAAGTCAGCTCATCTAAACCAAACTGGGGGCATACAATATCAAAAAATGAATAGATGGATGCCATTTAATGCTGATGAAGCACTTAACTGTTTCAACCCCCCCCAAAAAAAAAGTGACTTTGTGTTTTGGCAGATGATGGAATATTGACTTTTCGGGCACATATTAAAGACGACAAGAAGCATGTGTGTGTGTGTGTGTGTGTGTGTGTGTGTGTGTGTGTGTGTGTGTGTGTGTGTGTGTGTGGTAGTAGTAGGTGAAAAAATAGTTTTTTTCATTCATTTTATTTTTAATTTTAATGAAACATCTGCTCACAAAATATCCATCAAATAAGAAATTGCTGCAATGATACATTTCACAGCTGAATCTCTGTTGAGTCATGAGATGTCATCTGGTATTTGTACACACACCCTTTTCAGCTTTTCCAGGCTCAGTATGTTTGCAGCCATCTCTTGGCATTTCAGCTTTGTTTAATTTTTTTTACAAACACACTCAGCTGAATTGCACACAACCACCATACAAATATGCACATCTGCCACAAAGCACACAACAAAGAAAAGCAAAGGAAATTCTGTGGACTGGCATGACAACAATAACGATGGCCCATGCCGACACGTGAAATATGACTTCCACTGATGCGGGAAGCAGGGCAATAAACCAGTAGGGTTGCACGCACATACACACACACACACACACACACACACACACACACACACACACACACACACACACACACACAGTTGTGTACTGTACTTACTGCATCTACATTCTGACCTTTCCTCCAGGCAAAGTGAAAGCAAATAAATCTGCAAGGTTAATTTCCTTTGCATAATTTCCATAGAAACAATGGTAAACTTCACCTTTAATCTTTCATCCAATTATAAATAATCCTACCATATATTATAAGAGCCCTAGCATACCACGAATCAATTTGGTTGAAACAATTATTGTTTTGTGCAGCAAACATGCATCTATTTTGGTCTGGTTATGCCTGGTCAAGTCATGGGAGCATCATCTTAAATTGGTAAACACAGGCTTCCCGCTCCCCAGCTTTTTTGGGGATGACGAAACGCTCCCAGGTAAACCGGAATACTGTATATTGTCTCTTAATGCAGTTGTGGGTCATCCCCACGACCTCTTGCTGGTGGGCGTGCCCAAATATCTAGCCAGCAGGAAGGTGCCTTAACCAGATCAATGCCAGATCGAAATTTGGAACAACTCCCAAACAGTAAAAGTAATAGGACCATAATCTTATAACTGACCAATAACGTATTCTACATTTAACAAACCAACAAAACCACTTAAGTTCCAACAATTGTGATAACATAGACACTTACTCATAGATTGCATGTAGACCATTAAGTCTAGATTCACACTGCAGACAAATGCAACCCAGATAGAATTTTTTTGCTCAAATCTGAATCTGTTTTTTTTTTTTTTTTTTTTGAATGACAGTGTAAACGGATCAATTCCAAATTTTTCAAATCCGACCTGGGTCACTTTCACATGCGGTCCCGGATCAGATACGTGTCAGATTTTTTGCAATTTTTTTGAAATGAACCTAATCTATTCAATTACACTACATGTAGACTTTAAATACATAATTTTCCAAAGCTCACTCCTGTAACAATGACCGCTACTGTTAAATCCATTCATAATCCTCACAGATTGTGCTTGCATGCGTTGTGTACAATACAATGTCATAGAAGGGTGCATGAGTCATTGCTGGATGTGGGAAACTTCATGCTGTTATGCAAACACTGTATACGCTGAGTCGA